TCTTTTTCCCTTCCCCCTCTTGTAGAACTGTATTAATATCAGGACACCCATTTTTCCCGTAGGGGGGTGCCTCCCACTAACTTCTGGTGGGGGCCCTCTCCAGTACGTACTGCTCAATAAACATTGCAGTGAAGCCTTGATTATTCTGCATTTGTGTCCTGCGTTTTGATCCCACACCGCTTTTGGAGGTACCCTATTCTTCTGTTAGGCACCTCATGCTGTCAGCAGTACCCTTCCTTGAAATGTAAACCTGATGGTTAGGGCATTACCCTGGAGTACCCAAGATCAAACTAGTGCCCTTCCACCTGCAGACTTTTGTACGCTGTCAAGAAGACATGGACACTCCGGAAGAATATAGGAAACGTATGGGTGAGTCACTCTTCTAGACAATTCCTGAACCATAACTCATGCAGATACATAACAGTCAGCCTCCTTTGGGAATCAACACTTTGGTCTTCCAAATATTTTTATTTTTTTATTTTTGTAGCTGTATAAAACAGCATTCCCCTGGTCCCTTGTGGCTTCCAGTTTGTCTCCCTAGCTCTCAACACTTGAAATTTTGCAACTGTGCAGACACACACTATTGGGTTTTATCTTCCCCATCCCATCCAATTGCCTACGGGTCTTTTAATTGCAAGAGGGTTTTTTTTCCGGGTCCAATTATATAGGTCTATAAAACAGAAAGATTACTTGGGAGCCCTGGGGAGCCCTTTTGCTTGAACAATAAATAAAGGAGGGAATTTTGAGATTCACGTGGCTCAGAAGAATGGAAGCAAGAACGAACAATGACAAAATCCTCAATAAAGGCACGGCTGTCTGACTGTGCGCTTCTGCTCCAGAATGGTTTCCCCGAAGCCCCTTTTGTCATTTCCATCAAAAGGCCTTTAAAAATAATGATAAAATGCATCCTGTGAGAATACTGCCCTCCCTCGTTTCCTTCTTTCTCACCCACCTCTTTCTGGTGATACTCTGCGTAACGTTCAAACAGAAAATCACTACTGACAGAGGCTGCTTTTAATTTCAGAATGATTTCCTTCAATTACAGGCTGGGGCTTTATTTTAACGAAAATTATGGGATGCTTGTATCCAGCAGTGACCTGATGGATTCCAAGACTCAAGAACAGAAAGGAAATGGAAAAGTTCATGCTTCTGATTCATATCGCCGGATCATTTGCTTGCAGAAAGCCAGGGAAAAGATCACCTATTTTTTCTCAGTCAAACCCATCTTGTTCCTTCTTTGCTCCAGTTCTGCTCTACTGAAACTATCTACTTTGTTATGGTAGCCAGGCTTTACCTTATATTTATTTTGTTAAGGCAGGAGCCTGCAACAAAACACTCAGAACCCCAGGATATGCGCCAGCTATTCCCAGAATTCTCAGCAATGCCCATGCTGGGTAGGGAATTCTGGAAACTGAAGGCAACCTAGCTGGAAGACACCAGACTGGGGGAAGTTGACCTGGATGCTATCTGGAGACCTCAAAAATTGTATAATTATTTAAAAATATGTAAAATGGCTACAATCTCACATAATGTCAAATGCCCTCTTTCTCCACTTCCTCTATCATTAATAACGTATATGGGAATTTATAAAGTTCCTTTCTTTAATTCAAGACTCTTTGTTCTTTTTTGCAAAACAAAGGCTGGTTTTAATTCCCCCCCTAGACAGAATCACCAACAAGAACAAAAATATGCAAATTTCAGACCCAATAAAAGTGATAGGTTAGGGCGACCAGATCTGGGCTGCAAAAATCTGGAAGAGGACTAGTTGGCAACAAAGAGATACAGAAAATTCAACACTTTGCTGCCATCTATTAGTGGTCGAAATGTTTGCAGCCCAAATATGGCAGACTTAGGAAGAGATGTGTGTGGGCCTGCATGGAAAACTACTGCTTCAGCCAAGAATCAATTAGGTGGCTAATCAGCTGGAACCACCCTACTCTGCAAGAGGAGAATTAAACTGGCTTTTCTGGCAGGGGCGCTATTCAACGTCATTTTCAACAGCATTTCAAGAAATCCCTTTGATTTGAACTTAATCCTCCTGACTATACGGATGTGTCATGTAGCTTCTTGGCAGCAATACAAAAGTGATTTGTCATTGCCCACTTCTGGAATTCTGGGATGTTCAGCCCTAAAACACCCGGTGGTCTCCCTTCCAAATGTTAACCAGGTCCAATCCTGCTTAGTTTTTTCTTTTTCTATTTTTTAAGAGGTCTGCCTCTGGCTAGTTGTAATCCTAATGAAAATCTTGCTAGAGGTCAACAGGACAGAAGAAGGGGAAGACCAAGGCCAGGAGAATGATTTGGCTTAGCAATGTCCTGATTTTATGTTGTAGCTCATTTTCAGCCAGTGGTCATTCCTCTGATCTTGGGCTGTTTGGCATCTTCTTTTAATAGGCACAGTTTGTCACTGTCAATCTCTTACTATTAAGGAGAGGGCACGTGGAACAAGAGAGAGAGCAGACCAGCTCAAAATGTTCCCAGACAGGAAAGGTTTGCCTGAGCCGTTAAAAGCTGGTCGGAAGCTTAAGACCCAAAAACAACGGGACGTGAGGACGTCACGGTTGCTCTTAGAAGAAATTCTGGCAGCAGGGCTCTTGTAAATTAAGTCTAAAAGTTGTAAACAACCACCTATTTTGTATTCCAGGACATGACTTGAAGGCAAATAAGGAGGTAAGCTTGCTAAAGCTAAGCAGGGCTAGTTTGATTTTGCCTTATCTCCCATCGTGGGGAAAGAATAAACGGAAAGTACCGGTAGTCCCCAGTTTAAGAACGAATTCCGTTCCCAAGGTCTGTCCTTAAGTCGAATGTGTATGTAAGCCGGAGCAATATTATTGGATAATACCGTATAGGTAGTATTGGGCAATGAACTCGAATCATTTACACAATGATTTAACTTGAATTTTGCTACAATAGGCTCCGTTCCTAACTATGGGTGGTCCGTAAATCATAAAAGAAAGAACACGCACAGGCCCCAGGTCCTCAGTGAGTAACAGGGTCAAGCTGAAATCTTATACTGATTTTGAAATTTACAAGAATGCTAGAATTTTTTTTTTAGGGTCGTTTTTCCCCATTTCTCTTTGGGTTTCCTTTTCTTTTTAACCTTACCTTGGCTTAAACAATGTGCTTAACCTCATGAGAGAATGCACCCATTTCCCAGGTTCACATAATATACTGAATTATAAATTAACCAAAAGCACTGTTTGCCCAACTTACTAAGCCACAGCGTTAACACTAACCAAACTTAGCAGGTTATATAAATGCATCAACTAGTTCTTTGGCTGACCTGGTTAAGTATGTTGTATGAAGAACCAGTCAACGTTATTGTGTATAGATGTCTTTTTAGGCAATTGATAAAGACAGCATGTTAAGATACTTCCCAAATCTCATAGTAGCCTTTCCCAATGTGGTGGCCTCAAGATGGATTAAACTCCCAGAATTCCCACTTAACCGGGTCTTAAGAGGCCCTAGGTTGGAGCAGCCTGGCTGATAGAAAGGAGCAGGTGCCCTGAAGACTACTATGACACCTAAAGCTAAATGATTCTACTTGGGCGAGTTCCTCCCCACTTTTCAGATCCTAAAAATGTTTAAAATGCATAAAAATATAATTAAAAACAAATTTAAACATCCCCTTTTACAACCTTCCCAGAATGATTAAAATTTCCCTCACGTGTTTCTCCTGGTATTTATTTCTACCCTAGTGGAGACAAACTTCAAAACAAAGCAACAGAATTAGTGATCATTGCACATTGCAGTAAGAGTAGGCTTAGGTCAAGGCTCCTATGAAATGCAGTTGAGCCTCACTCCTGGCGATCACATAGACTTTGGGGCAAAAATATGGAAGCAGTTTTCCTTGTCTTCCTCTGGAGCTTTACAAGCCTTGGATTTCCAGTGAACAGTCATTCAACAGGAATAGATTTGACCCTGCTTAACTTTTTTCAGGATCAGTCAAGGTTGCAAGACCTTCCATCTGCTGGGTAAAGCTACAGAATTCCTGAAAGGGAGCTCAACTCCAGCAATCTACATCAGTGTTTCTCAACCTTGGCAACTTTAAGCTGTGTGGACGTCAACTCCTAGAATTCTGGGAGTTGAAGTCCACACAGCTTAAAGTTGCCAAGGTTGAGAAACATTGGTCTACATGGACATATCTTTTCTTTCTTTCTCTTTTTTGTACCAGTATAGGGGTTGTCATGGCCTTCTTTCAGAATTTTTTTTTAAAAATCTATTTTAGCCTTCAGCCCTGGGGTTTTCTGGTAGTCTTCCATACAAGTATTAACCATGTCTGGTCTTGCTTATTTAAGATCAGCCAAAGTTAGTCAGGTACCACTTGCTATGTGGGCTTAAATGGTTTTAAAATAAGGAGGAAAACATACAGTTCAACCAGCAACTATGGTCCATGAGCACTGATGTTCGGACATAGTGTACCTGCAAACTGTTAGTTGGCTGGATGGCAAACAGTGGAGCAGACTCTTGCCCTCATGTTCTGTTTGTGACTTTCTTGGGTGTATTTGGCTGGCTAGCATTTGAAAACAGTGCTGGGCTGGATGTCCAATCCAGCATGGCTTATTTTAAGAACCTTACATAAACTTAGAGATCATCCAGCTTGACCACTTGCCCATCACTTTGACCTCTCTTTCTTTCCCTTTCTTTCCCTTACTTTCCCCTTCCTTCCTTCCTTCCTTCCTTCCTTCCTTCCTTCCTTCCTTCCTTCCTTCC